AATAGCGTAACCATGGCAACCAGTTGCTTTTGACCAATTTTTGATATCTGAAACTGTTGGTTGCCATGGTTAGCTACTGCTATTTTGCTATCTCAATTGAATAGGAGGTGTTCAATAGGATTCATGTCAGGACTTAACGCTGGCCATTCCATGACCTGAATTCCACGTTCTTGCAAAAAGTTTGTGGTGATGCGGGCGGTATGTGGCTTTGCATTGTCCTGCATTAGGATGAAATTTTAACCGACCCATATGAAGTAGGCACCACATGGTCCTCCAAGATGTTTTCGATGTAATTCATGGCATTTAGTCTACCAGGAACAACAACAAGATCAGTTCTGTTGTCTATACAGATTCCAGCCCAAACCATAACAGATCCCCGATCAAATCTATCTACTTCCTGTATAGTAGCGGCTGCGTAGCGTTCACCAGAACGTCTATATACATGCACTAGACCGTCGCAACGAGTTAAACGAAATCTGGATTCGTCTGCAAACAGTACAGGAGTCCTGTGGCGAAGTTGCAAATCTCTGTGACCCAGAAGATGCTGTGTAAGGCGTGGTTCGCGGACAGTTCTTCTAGGTTTCAAATTCGCTTCTTTTAATCTTTTAATCGGTTTTTAATAGTTTGATTAGAAATTTCTATTCCATGTGCTCGTCTTAGGTCGTTTAGGAAATGCTGTATCAGTACACGTACGTACACAGGAAAGGACAAGAAATCGGTCTTGATCTTGAGTAGTTCTTCGAATTCGACCTTGTCCAGCTCTTCTAACATGTTGGCCAATCTCCCGAAACCGATTCCATAAACGGTGAATAACAGAAGGGGAAACTCGAAGATCCTTGCTCAATAAGGGCGACAGCACGAGCAGCTTGCACTTCACTAAGATACTTCATGACGCTTCTAATCACCGAAATTTGACAACTGAATTCATTTGTCATCTTTAGTATGCTTTCATTCGCGAATTCAAAGCATACTTGACATTTTTCCACCTCATTTTGCGTTATTAATTTACATTTTTAAGTGTATCTTAGAAGTAACTAAGAGTTGTAACATTGTTTTTGTAATTTTCTTTAGTTTAATATATACCATTGGGCGTTGAAGTAAACCAAATTTAATTTGTCTAGAGCTATTATTTAAAAAGTTACAGATTTCGAAAAGTATTCCCCTAATTTTTTTTGAGCAGGGTATATAAATATATAATAAATATATGTATAGTATATATAAATATATCTCTGTGTGGGTGGGAGACAGAGATATTCAGTTTTTTATACATAATGTGTAATACAAATAGTGTATTTTTGTATTCATTTGTTGATTTATTATTTTTCTTGTTAGGTCTGCATTTTGCTGTATTTTTAAGAAGGTATGATTTTGTAAAATTAGTGTCTGTGTAACCAGAAAAACCTTTTTTTTCCTAGTTTAAACGTAAAACACATTTAGAAGAATTTGAATCAGCAAAGTTTGAGTTATTTTAGATTGTTCTATGTGTTTTAATTCTTATTGTGTAATTTAAAACCACTGACGCAAGAATTACTGAATGTACTGAGAGTAAAGTGTCCTTTATAGAGTTGATCTAGTGAAAATAATAGCTGTTCTAGATTGCTTTAGGTATAATAAGTATACAGGGTGCCCATTATGTATGGAATATAGTATATATCTTGGTAGGTATCAACTTTATAAAAAAACATTTTATACAAAAGTTGTTTAATATTTTATTTGTCATAATAAGACAGTCAATTGTTCTTATTTCAGAAAACAAATGAGCAACGAATACACTTGAAGTTTTTTAAATGGCAATGCACCCTTTTGTTAGGCTAATTTGACAAAGATTTTTTTTCTCTTTACGATGACGTAAAATTTTAGTACCCTTATATCAGAAAATTTTTGAAAAAATTGTAAAAATTGTTTATTGAGAAAATTTTACTAATAACATTAATCTAGATATCCGAGATCGTCAAGTACCTCGAAGTACCTCGAATTATTGGAGATGTATGTTGTATTTTGTATGTAAATTTAATTTACAGTAATAATTCGAGGTACTTGACGATCTCGGATATCTAGATTAATGTTATTGATTAATTTTTATTAATAAACCATTTTTCCATTTTTCTCAAAAATTTTACGCCATCGTAAAGAGAAAAGTAATCTCTATCAAATGAGCCTAAAGAAAGAATACATTGCCATTTAAAAAAATTTAATTATTATTCGTTACTCATTTGTTTTCTGAATTAAAAACAATTAAATGCAGTCTTATTATGGCAAATAAAATATTAAACAAGTTTTGTATAAAATGTTTTTTTATAAAGTTGATACCTACCAAGATATATACTATATTCCATACATAATGGGCACCTCTATATATTAAATTTGTAATATGGAATTGAAAATAGAAAAACTATGGTCACAGCAATCAACTAGACATTTTGGCAGCCAAACCTATTTTTAATTATAACTTCGTAATGATGTATCCCATAATTTTGATTTTCTGGAACAATAACTAGAACAATTAGATTAACCCAGAACAACAAAGAAAATCTGATTTTTCCAAAACAGGTTTTTTCGGTTTTTCTCGCCGAGTTTTTATTTTTTCTAATTGCCGCTTTGGAACAACGTAGAACTCTAGAACAACAATGAAAACTTTAAAAATCAAAAAATGGGGGGCTAACTTCCTGCACTCTTCAAATTCGGCAACCTCTTTATGAGTCTTTATATTTAAATCGGTAGACGTTAAAGAACTTTTAAGGGAAGCAATCCGAAATGTTAGCAGCAAATTATGGGAAAAATTCAGTTTATCATATAATCAAAGATGAAACAAAAATGAAAGAATTTGACGAAATTATTAAAGTTGTAAAACTGACACAACGGATATAACGACGATAAACAAATATCAACGGAGATAACATAATTTATGGTGTATAACGTAATTTACGCTGCAAACTACAAATTGAAGACTCTATAATAGAACAATTTATACATGTTAAATAACGACCGAAAGAAAAAGACGACAAGGACGACCGCCCAAGAGATGGGTACAGAGCTGGTTTTCCTCGTCTGCGGAGTAAAGTCCAAACATAAGGCTTGACAAACCCTTAAGGCTTGACAAAAGCTAGGGATGCTTCCCTAGCAGAAAGTAGAAGGAAATGAAGAAGAAGCTGATAGTTATACCAGCACAAACTATAACTTTATACAGGATGAAAGATTCAATTACAATACAATTACCTTGCTTAACTAAGCTTGTTGAACATTGTTAAATTTAATTAATCAGTTTATAGAATTGGAAACTACCAGAGACTTGCTGTTTAAAATAATTATATTTTATGTGTTGTTATGAAATTATATTTTAACATAAATGCTTATTAAACGTTGATTAATCGTTGAGAGAAAAGAATTTTTTCCCTTAATCTACCTTTAAAAACGATGGCATTTAATTTCTTTGTATTAAAAGAACTTTCAACCCAGGAAACTTAAAATTAGATGTAATCTAACCGGAAACAAAGAAAAAAAAGTTTTCAATCTCAATTTCAAACCGTTTCGGAGAAACAAATTTTTCTTTCACTTCATTTTCATCAAGTAAAGTGGCCTACATCCAACTTCAAGATAAAATATCTCTTTCATTTCATATTCGTCTCAATGTTTAACCCAAAAAGGTTACAAACCATTCATAATTACTTGAAAGTTATTATCTCGGATTATAAAAACAATTAGTATTTCATTATTATTTCATTATAAAGGTCAAAGTCGTATTTTACTTCTTTTAAATTAATTATTAAGAAAAAAAATTAAACTAAATAAAACCTCAAATTTTTATTGTATATAAATATATTTATTAATCAATTTCAGTTACATTTAAAATCAAGTTTATCAAAGATATAAGTACCAATAATCAAAAAAGTCAAATTACATGTTAAAATTGGTCAACAATGAAAACATATAATTAGAAAATTGATATAAGGAAAATGTTCACGTCTGTATTAAAAATTCAAAAAAAATCATAAAATTTAAAATTAATTACATATTATGTTAGCAACAGCATCCACTTCTTCTACCACCACCACCACCACATCCTCCACGTCTCCTTGGTTCTTCATCGCTGAAGGAGTCGTAAGAATCATAAGAGTCATCATACGACGAAGAATCGTCACTGCTGCTATAATATCTGCTGTTTCTTCGACCGGTTCTTGTTGCAGTATAACGTTTCGTCGACGTAACTTTTTTCGGTTTTCTCCTGGTTGTTCTGCCTCCACCACAAGGTCCACCACATGGTCCACCACACGGCATCTTTAATGTTCTTCTGATAAAAATTTTCAAAAAATTTTGGAAGGAAAACTTCTTTTCAAAAAGACGTCTTTGAAATTACTTCTATCTTGTTTTTCAGAACCACGACGTCCTTTTTTCCTTCACCTCTTCTGCTGTAGCCGTCTGTTGATCGCTGTTAACTAACGAAATTTTGATATCCGAACTCGTCTTTTATACCTTTTGGGGTTGAACGGGTTTTTGCGATTTATTGTAGTGGAATTTTTCCAAAAATACGACCAGATGTGCATAAAATACACGTGGTTTTAATATTATTTTGTAAAATATGATTGAGTTTTATTGTAAAATTGAAACAAAATTTGAATTTTTATCAAATAAGACGTTTCTCTCTTTGTTTTAAGATATTTTAAAATGAATTTTGATGTTAAAAAAGTAATTTAATTCTTAATATGAGAAGAAAATTAAATATTTAGCTTTAATTAATTAAAAACAATCTTAATTTTTGAATTTTATGTAAACTTATTCATAGTTATGTATGAAAAACATGATTTGATATAAAAATCATAATTATTTTTCAAATAAACAATTTCTTTTGAGAAAAGAACAGAAAATGCAAGCTTTATTTATTAAAATGTTATAAATCTTTTTTTGTATTTAATTAAAAATATAAATTAAAAAAAATTATAACAATTATTTCTTGTTTTTGGGCGACATCTCTTTTTCAATAGCCAAATTACATTTTCGAAAATGATAAGTCAGTTGATATTGACAGATAACATAACCTCAATAATAAAGAAAAAGATTTAAATAAATTTATAAATAATGAAAAAGTATCGTATATGGTAATTCATTCAACAAAACTTTTTTTTAAATTATAATATCGTTTTTCTTTTGGTAGCATGGTATCCGATTTTTTTTATCCAAATACAGGAGGTGTAGAAGAGCACATATACAACTTATCTCAATGTTTAATACAAAAAGGTCACAAAGTAATCGTAATAACGCATAGTTACGGTGATAAAGTCGGAGTAAGGTATCTCACAAACGGTTTGAAAGTGTATTATTTACCTATAAAGGTGTTTTATAACCAATGTATTCTCCCTTCGATGTTTTGTAACTTACCGTTATTGAGATATGTTTTAATTAGAGAACGTGTCGAGATTGTTCATGGACATTCTGCCTTTTCAGCTTTAGCACATGAAGCTTTAATCATTGGTGGATTAATGGGTTTAAAAGTAATGATTAAGAATTTAATTAAAAATTCAAACTTAATACTATTTTTATTTTTTTAGACTGTCTTTACTGATCATAGTTTATTTGGTTTTGCTGATGCAAGTGCTGTGATTACAAACAAATTATTAGAAATAACTTTATCAGATTGTAATCATTGTGTATGTGTTTCTCATACTGGGAAAGAAAATACTGTGTTGAGGGCTGGAGTTCATTTTAATCGTGTTTCTGTTATTCCAAACGCTGTGGATACATCAATGTTTATACCTGATCCTTCAAAAAGTTCTCAAACTCATAGTAATTTTATTTTGGTTTAAATCTTGTTTTAAATTAATTAATTTTTTTTAGTAACTATTGTAATCATATCAAGACTAGTTTATAGAAAAGGTGTTGATTTAATGGCTCAAATCATTCCTGAGATTTGTCAAAAATATCCTACAGTACATTTTATTATAGGTGGAGATGGCCCAAAGAGATGGTTAATTTTATTTATTTAAATATATTCTTTTATAATTAATGTTTTTCAAAATTAGGTTATTAGAAGAAGTTAGAGAAAGACAAGGTTTACAAGATAGAGTAAAATTATTAGGATCTTTAGATCATTCAAAAATTCGAAATGTTTTAATACAAGGTCATATATTTTTGAATACTTCCTTAACAGAAGCTTATTGTATGGCTATTGTTGAAGCTGCTTCTTGTGGGTAACTTATTTTCTACATTCATTTTCTTCATCACTCATTATTGTTCATTCCAATCAATATTTAGGTTAAAAGTTGTTTCTACAGAAGTTGGTGGTATTCCAGAAGTACTTCCACCAGATTTAATCTACCTAACACAACCAAATGTTCTTTCATTAATTAAAGGTTAGTAAAAAGCATCATGGTTATTAATATTATTAATTTGAAATATCTAAAGGTGTTGAACAAGCAATATTTGATATTAGAAAAGGGCTTTTTGTGTGCCCTTTTGAATGTAATCAAAGAATAAGTAAATATTACAATTGGTCCAATGTTTCTGAAAGGACAGAAAGTGTTTATGAAAAAATTAAAAGCGAACGATGTACAGATTTACCAGAAAAATTAAATAGGTAGGAATAGTTATAATTATGTTTTTTCTTTGATTCCTGAAACTGCAAAATATCCAAAAGTGTTACATGATTGATATAACAATTTTTAAGAGTAGTGAAAATGTTTAAAAAAAACGTTTTTAAAAGCGGTAAAACTATTGTGTCAGATTTTTTCGTTTTGTAATGTAGTATTGTATAATATGAGATTTAAAAGTCTTTGGCAGTGATGGAACGGATAGTGATTTTGCGAAAAGCCGGATATTCGGCATCCCCTTCGGCCGGATATCCGGTTATCCGGCATATCTATCCGGCCTTTATGATTATAATTTCTGGTACATTTCTGAAGTGATACCTACATTATTGGAATATTTGAATAAAAATGAAATTAATAAGAAAGCTGATAAGATATGTCAACTTATTTGGATCCAAGATACTAACTAAGCAACTCTAAAAAGAAGATACTTTAATTAATAATTGGCGATATTTCCACAAGGATCCTTCAAGAAATTAATTTTATAGCTAATTTTGATAATTATTGATAAAAATTGCAACATCGAAAATTTTATAAAAACTTCAAATATTGTTTTCTCAAAAACTAAAAGTTATTTTTCAAATCGTGTTGGTTCATTGGAAAGAGCATACTTTTATTAACATTTCGGGAAATTTTCATACTCACATTCCAAGAAATCGATTTTATGCGAATTATTAGGATTTAATCGGCGAAAAGTGCAAAATTCGAAAAAATTGTCGATTATTTCAAAAATTTATTTCTCAAGAACTAAAAGTGATTTTTCAAAACGGTTTTTTGCATTAAAAAGAGAATATTTTAATTAATAATTGGTGATATTTCCACAGGGATCCTTCAAGAAATTAATTTTATAACGAATTTTGAAAGTTATCGATGAAAATTGCAACATCGACAATTTTATCAGAACTTCAAACATTGTTTTCTCAAAAACTAAAAGTTATTTTTCAAAACGGGTTGGTTCATTGGAAAGAGGACACTTTTATTAACACTTTGGGAAATTTTCATACTCATATTCCAAGAAATCGATTTTATGCGAATTATTAGAATTTAATCGGCGAAAATTGCAAATGTTCGAAAAAATTGTCGATTATTTCAAAAATTTATTTCTGAAGAACTAAAAGTGATTTTTCAAAACGGCTTTTTCCATTAAGAAGAGGATATTTTAATTAATAATTGAAAGTGATAAGGAAGGAAACTAGACGAAACTGCAACAAGAGATTTTATATACCATGGGATTGTTACAATGAGCTTGCTAATGATAAATATAGTTGTATTCAATGAAAAAAGTCCTATTGGGGTTGAACTTAATTATTATCTGCAGTGTCCAACACCTAAAAGAGATACTAATTCCTGTGAATGGTGGAGTACTAAATAATAGGTATTTAATATCCGTTCCACCACTAGTCTTTGGTATCTATTCCTAGTAGATTAATTATGTTATATATTATCAATCATTCCAATAACTATTGAATTTCAAATTTGATTCATTCCCTAGATACTGGACTAGACCATGAATGCTGAAACTAATTATAACAGTACTTATTATAACAATTATACTAATCACTACAGTCGGTGGAATCATCCACTGGGCCGTGTATAGTGTAACCATCCAGTTGACATAAGAATCATCCAATGAATACTGGGATTACCTACTTGATACTGGAATCAACCGTAGTTCGAATCAATATTTAATCTTATTGCTATGTACATACAATGTGTCTGTTATGGTAATGCAGTATATTTAAGGAAACTTTTATTTATTCACCTATCTAAATGGTGGATTGGTATGAAAATCACCTCATAATGTTTACAAGAGAATCTCTCGCAACATCACTTTTCGTTGACTCTCATCATCGAACAGTGGCAGCTTTAGGGTGGGGAAAAATGTGCTTCAACGACTGATGCAGATTACATGATATTTAACTGACAATAATCTGGCTTTCAAAGGATCATCTGATAAGTTATTTACCTCAAATAATGGGAAATTTCTAGGGCTCGTACAATTATTGGCAAGATTTGACCCTGTCATGAAGGAGCAATGAAAGGAGAGTTGGCTGACCATTATTATGACAAAAATATACAAAATGAATTGATAGAATTAATCATCGCAAGTTAAAACCACAATATTATGACATGTAAAGAATTCAAAGCATTATGCAAATCATAGCTGACTGTACTCCTGATATAAGCTATAAAGAGCAACTCTCCCTAACATTAAGGTGCAGTGACATAACCGAGGATGCCGTAACGATTAAAGAATATTTCATTACATTTTTGGGAATTGATGATACAACTGGTGCAGGTCTTACAGAAGCTATTTTACAAATATTGAGTGATCATAATCTCAATATTAGTGATTGCAGGGAAAAGGGTTATGATAATGGCGGGAGCATATAATGAAAAAACAAGGGCTTGCAAAAGAGAATTACCGACCTTAATTCGTTAGGTTTCTTTGTACCATGTGGATGTCACAATTATAATTTAGAGTTTTAATCTTTATTCGGAAGCTAAAAATATTTACTTTATTTGTAGCATCAGTAAATAGATGGAAAATTTTAATTGAGCATCTGAAAATCTACACCTTTCAAAAATCAAGCGCTACTCGCTGGGAATCCCGAATCGAATGCAGTATAATATCAATTTTGAGACTTTCATGATGCTTTAGCGTCTTCGACTGAAGATACCAAACTAAACGATCCTACGACGTCACATGAAGTGATAATACTTGCAAAATAACTGAAAGACTTTACTTTATAATTTCTCTTGTAACATGGTACGATGTTCTTTTTCCAATTAATGTTGTAAGCAAAGCAATCCAATATCGACTTCATTCATATTACAGAAATGCTTAAAAAATGTTCATATTTGGGAAATTATTGACAAATAGTTAGGTTTCAAACAAGCTAATTTTTAAACCCCAAAAGCGACTAAGGGCCGATCTTACTAAACAGTTTATACCGCTCCGTATACCAAGAATAACTAAATGTTGGTATAAACACTAGAATAAACGTCTAATAATACCGGCGTATAGCATAAGTAACGGTATACGGCGCAGGATAGCTATACCGTGCAATTCAACGCGAATAGCTTATACTAGGAATAAGTCAGAGACTGTTTGACATTGATCATAATCAATCAGACGTAATAATTATTGTATGAATAACGCGTAATGCTGATTTTCAACTTAAAATTTGTGAGACATCCAAAAATAAGTAAAATTTGCGAAAAAAAACTAAGGGTGATGAAAATTTTTCATTATTTTTCCCGGATTCAGCACCCAAAAATCAATGAAGGCCGTATATCGCCTTTCAGTTTCAAAAAAGGTTTTTGATCGCAGTCCTGAGTAATTAAAATTAGAACTAACACTACACTTAGAACTAGAAACATTCGGATTTACCATATGTCTCTTAAGACGTCTAAACTCTAATGGTTCTAGTTCTAGTATTAGTACTACATTTAGTTCCATAAATATACAACAACCTAACGCTGAATAACTATAAAACTAGAACTAACACTAGACCTAGAACTAGAAACTAAAAACATTCGGGTTTAGCCGTCTAAAGAGACGTACAGCTAACCCAAATGTTTCTAGTTCTAGATCTAGTGTTAGTTCTAGTTTTACACTAGCACTGTTACTATGTAGAACTATTAATACCACAATTTAAAAATATTTTGTTCACATTCATATTCGTAAGGACGTAAAATGAAAATAAAAACAGAATAATGGTAAACACCGCTGATCAATTTGACAGTCGCTAAACGTAAACAACGTAAACAAACCACATGCGCGCTGCCCGTTATACCCACAGTATTACCAACCATTGGAATAAGTATTCTGGCATAAGAAAGGCTTTATAAGACGCATTCGTTAAATTATTGCCGAGAATAAATTATTCTGGGAATAACTATTCCACTGATTATATACCAACACTTGTAAGATCGGCCCTAAGACGCATTAAAACCAATAAATTACACAAAAAAAAAATGCAAATGTTACTTGGCATTTTTTTTGCCATAAAAGAAAGGCAAAATAAAGAACAGCTGTTGAATCATTGTTCTGCACTGAAAAAAAAACTAATATTCAACTCTAAATCGGATATTAATGGAGACTTATTGTGTGACGAAATCTTAAGTCTACAACATTACCTGAAAGACTACCCATACCGAAATTTTAACACTTCTTTTTCCCCATGAAGTATCTTGGCTAGCTCACTTCAATCCGAAGACGTTTTTGGGTAGTCAGACGTTTCATCTCTTCTAGCCCATCCAGAATTTTTGTAAATACCTGATTTCTTGAACCCATTTAAATTCAGGACTTTGCCAGGATGGGGATGTAAGGGTTATAAAAACGTCTTAATACGATTTTGTTTGTATTTTGTGAAGCATTCAGTATTTCACATTCTAGTATCCTTATTTTGAGTATGTCTTTCTCAGACCCTTTTCAACTGGGCTATGCTGAACAATTCATTGAACCAGGTCTTAATCACGCAAAAATTTTAAATTACATCTACAGATTAAAGATTTAGCCAATGACAGAAATGTTCGTATAAGTCAATATTTCATTATCCAACAGCTGCAAGAATGGTTATTTCAACACGTTCTCAAAGCTACCGTATAAAACATAGTTTCGCAGAATAATTGCTACTTTAATATGCTAATATACTTTAATAAATTATCTAATCACGAGATAAGTTGCTAAAATTACATTAAACATTTTTAATATAATTAATATCTCTGATAATGTAATCAATCATTACGTTCTAAGAATACAGATTTAAGGATTTATGAATTTTTCGATAGTCGGTTACTTCATTCTTGAGTTTTCGTTGAAACTTCGATGTACTTTCAAATTACGATCGCGAATAAGAAAATGGATGCCCAGTTTATTGCAAAGGTCTAGTATTCCATTTCATTCTCTCATCTTCATTTCTTAAATATTTTTTGACGGCAAAGATTACTTCATCATTAAGGGATTTATTAATTAATTCATCAATATCGTTGTCACAAAAACTGTTACTTTGTTACAGCGTTTACTTGCCAAGTTGATAAATGGTTTCGTAATGCGATTCATTTTTCTAACTTGAACCCTTTATCAACATTTTAAGAGCATGAAATTCCAGAGGTTCATATTCATTCACATAAAACAGAGGAATGAGGATGTGCCCAAGTTTTCGTCAAATTAATCTCCCATAACTCCTTCCATATCTCCAGAAAGATATAAACAAAGGACGCATTATAATACGTGCCTCCATAATACTTATGTATGATAAGTGATCCGCATTTAGGTAAGATAATAAATAGCTGCTTGATACCGCTGGTTTTAACTTGGTGATTACTTTATTCTATGGAATTAAACATATTTTTTATTTAACACGATTTGCAGTTTCAGGAAAAAAATGGGTATGTTCCATATTTGTTTAACAATTATATTTATTTTTTTTTGTAGATACTTACGTAGTGGAGTGTGGCCATTTCTTTTAGTAATTTCTTTGTGTCATATAATGTTAAAAATATTAGAAGTGATTGTACCGAGAAGATTTATTGATATAGCACCAGATTATAGGATTAAAAATAAAAAAGATTGAGTGTTTCTGTAAAATATCTATGTATTTTTTTTACTTTTTATTACATTTTTTTAATTATTTGTTTCCCAAGCGGAAGTAATACAAATAATGACAATATGCGTTTTATTTTCGTTTTAATTTTTAAATTATTGACAAACACAGCAATAATTCAAAAAATAATAGAAAAGAAACGGCGAAATTTTCAAAATGATACAGCAACAATTAAGTTAATAATAAATTTAAATTAAAAATGATAAATTTTTGTTGCTGTTTCAGTTTTTACAATATTGTTTATATTTTTTTAAATATTTTTCTATTTTTATCAGCGTCTAACTAACAAAAATAAATAAAAAAAACTCTGTAAATGAAAAATAAATATATACTTAATATATTAATAGTATCGGTATTTTATGAGTTACTTCGTTTCATTTTTATATTCACTAGTACTTTAAAGTGGGTATTTTAATACAATCTTATTTATATAAAAAATTTACTTTTCTTTTTTTGTTTTGATTCATAGATCTTCTACAATAATTATTACACAATTAGGCCAAATAGTTTTTTTTCGATTTTAAGTAAGAATTTTCTTACCTACCAACCTCTTTAATCCCTTTCAAATACATCAAAAAAGGGAATGTTTCTTTTTAATAATCTTAAACTATCCTCTAAAAAAGTAATTATTACACAATTTTTGGGAATGTTTTCACCTACTTTAATAATCGTTATTATTTAAATATTATCCTTTTAATATCATTATTATTCACGTGGAATTTTGGTCCACTTGATTTCAAAAAACTTCACAAATTCATCAAAATTTTTAATATACAATTAATATTATTGTTTTCATTTATTGACAAGTATGAGTTTCTAGTATTTTTTTGTTGAATTATATTATGTTCGTTAACCTGAGGTCGATTAAAAATAATAACAAGCTACGTGCTATTTTATTTAATTTTTAAGTTTTGTTACGTTTTATTTTCAGTCTAACTAGTTTAAGTATTCTAATAGAGCGGTAATCGAAAAATACACCACGTAGAGTAGAATTAATGACCCCACGTTATTATGCTAGGTTTCTTCTTCTTCTTCATGCGGCCTTGGAACGGATTGACTCCCATAATTCCATGATAAACGTTTATGGATACTTGGGTCCCTATTGTCGAAACGCTGTTAAAAACAGAAACAACAATATTGTTTTAAAAGGGTAAAAATTTATAATAATTTCTTTACAAAAATAACTACTTTATTTATTAAATATATACATTTAATAAACATGTTGTTAATAAAGTTAAGTAAGAAAAAACGATTATTAAATTTAAAGTAAGTTGAGTAAGCAAATAAGCGCAATTAAAGGAACAATACAAAAAAGCTGCAGGAAAAGCAGGTGGGCGTCATATGCAACTACCTTGATATCATCTACCGTGCCGGCGGTGTGGTATCGTTTATTTTCGGTTCTATGGCCGCGTTTTACCATTGCTTGTCGTAATTGGCCTCTGCTAAAACTTTCGCAGTGGTCAGAAATTCCTGCAAAACAAAAAAAGTAATAACAATATTTTTTTTGTTATAATAATTTTATTTCCAATCTATATTTTTTGCTTTAATTATTTGGCGTTACGTCCACTTCAAAACGCCATAGTTGTTCTTTTTAATCCTTAAAGAACACAACAAAAAAATAAAAAGCATTTGGAAATGTCAATGAAAAAATGATATGGTTTTGTGAAATGAGCAAGTTTTGATTATGTAAGTTCATTCCGGTTTTAGACTTGAGAGGACAAAAGATTTTTTTGATGTATGCGAAATATGTATAAAATGATCTAAATAACAGATAGTTCATTTGTGCCTTTAGCGAATTGAATGAATCACTGTTCAGAGGTTAAAGCAGTATCAAATATTTTTGTTTATTTTTAGTGTGATTAATTGTTAGTACATATACTGTAATGGGCTTATTATCAAAAATATAATACGTCCTATATGAAATGTGGAAATTTTTGTTTGGTCAATATGGATGGATCCTCTGGCTACACTTCTTACAAATGTTTACAAGCGTTTCATTTCAGGTCCTGAAGTGTTCATCCTTCGTATGGATTTTATATATTCTATAAATCCTATAAAGAAAACCTGTACTTTGCATAGATGGATTTGTATGTTTGAATGCATTTGGCTTCTTGCTATAGCTTGATAATAAAAACATGGCAACCTCGAGAAAGCGACAAGGCAGTAGCAGCAACAAAGAAAGCTAGTGTTTAGATGGAGTTTGGGAAAAAATGATAACACAAACGATGAAAAATATTTTGCAATGCTTGACTTGATGTAGAACTTATCAAAAAGAATCATATGGAGAAATCTGGCTCCATGTATTTTTTTATAACTTATTCCTGGTACAACTTGTCACCAATTCATCAAGTTTTATACATGGTCTCTGTATAAACTACGTGCCAAAAAAATTCCAACATCTCGAAAGAGCTGAGTCACAAAGCTGTAATTTTTACAAGTAATTTGTATTTATTTCAATAGTAAATCATATTTGAAAAAAAATACCAACAATTTATGTGACTAAAATGTTTCGGCGAGACATGCTCTGAATGAGATCATCTATGGAATCGTGTGGAATCTCATCCCAGGCTTACTGTAGATGACGACGAAGTTATTGCAAGGTGTTTGCTGCTTGTGGTAAACGCCTTATCTTATACATTGATCTATCATATTCCATACATGCTCGAGCGGGTTTAAATCCGGAGTGCGAGCAGTCCATGGGAGAATTTCTACTCTTTCTTAGTGTAGGAAGTTCTGATAGATGTCGGCGATGTGAGGTCGGGCGTTATCCTGCTAGAACATGATGTCAGGGCTGTAATATTAACGGGCTGTAAAATCTCGTGGATGTATCGTTGTGCATTTGAACTGCCAGGGATTACAACTAGAGGTGACTTATACCCCAACGATATGGCATCCCATACTATAATACCAGATGTTTGGCTGCCGAGACCTCGAACAGCAAAATCTAATTGATCATTTTGCCACAAACAGAACCAGGATTCATCGATCCAACAATGTCTTTCTTGGCACCATAGAAGTCTGGCAGTTTTGTAAAGTTGCGCCAAAGGAAGACGTCGTAAACGAAATCTGTCTCTCAGACTTATTTGTCTAAGGCGACGATCTTCACGTTCGTTAGTCGCTCGAGGACGACCGCTTCTAGGACGATGATGTTGGTTATGTTGTTCAGACCACGCAGTCCATGCTCAAAGCACTGTTGAAAGGTTTCTCATGATACGGAATACCTATCTTGTGCAGGCCAACAATCTCTTTCAAAGTCAGACAATTGGTTAAACCGCGGTCTTCTACCAATTTTAGGCATTGTTAACAATCGAAGAAACAACAAATCGCATTTACTTTGTGACACCGAAAAGATAAATTTATTAACTTCCAGGAGTAGGATCAAGTGAATAAAAGAACGACTATATTATCATGCTGGTTTTGAGAAAGTCACATGTTTTTGAGTTGTTTGTCAACCGCACGTGATTTTTATTTTATTTTATTTTCTGATGTGTACCCCGTACACTCTTTTGTTTTTTTTGTTGATTTAATTAAGACTGTAAGTGTATTTGATATTGTAATTTTGTATTAGTGTTGTTGATTTTGTTTGTAGAGCCGTCAGGCCCTGAGGAAACACTAAAGTAATGCGAAATATAAAGGCATGATAATATAGTCGTTCTTTTATTCACTTGATCTTACTCCTGGAAGTTAATAAATAATCTTTTTGGTGCTATTAATAAAGGATTGACAACATTCTCCATTATTTACTTTGATGCAGCAAGAAACTTAGAATTCTTTGAGTATCAATATGATATTTTTATCACCGACTTTTTGCATACATCCAGTTGTTTTGTTAAGATTCCAGCCTCATCTTTTTAGAGCTGTTACAATTTTTTTGGCATGTAGTGTATATTATCTTCGATATTACTAATAGGTAGTAAAATCGAAGATAAATCTTTGAACTAGTGACTAATCTTTGAAAAAGATAGGGAGCAAAATTCGAGAAAGTACAGCAGGTCACAAACGAATGAAGTCGTTACACCCACATTGCAAAACAAACGGATATGTCGCATTCGATAATTGAAAAGCTGATTAAAAAAAGATATCATTTCAATAGGCTTTGAACTGAGACGAATGAACAAATGTCCTTCCAGGTAAACAGATATATCCAGTTTAAAGTCAATGTATTGACTGATTATACACTTCAATAAAAGGGACTGTCTCCCAAAATTTCACATTGATATTTCACCTTAACAAGTAATCACTCTGATTTCTATCGGTTTCGGGGTACGTCATAAAGTTGTCCTAAAGTGGCCAATATTTCTTTGATATTTTATGATGGACGATCTATTCTATAAGTTCTTGTCGTTTATGGCATGTTAGAGCAAGTCTACGAAGGCAAACTACTGCACAGCTAAAGCTATATTATCCTATTTGGTCAATCTGATGATATCAAATTAATATGAGTTAACATTCATGAACTCTTTGGTCAGCACACATCTTTTAAGTTCCTGTGAAGAATAGATTCGGTACAGACTACGAATACGACGTTTAATAGTAACGAAATTTCTATTGCACGATAGAAAACCATGACACGTTAATAAATATAATCGCATCCTGGTTCTTTTTGTTTGTACTAAAACTCCATTACGGGTAACCAAATCTTTTTTCTTTAATATGGTTCGCTTTACTCAATACATCCTTATTTCATCTTGGTTTATAGTCCTTATCTGAAGATGATTCACATCTTGTATCGGACATTCTAAGGGCAACTGTTTGAAAACATATCATTTGAAAAAGTTATTAGCTAATGCTATACGTCATACCTGACTTGAGCATGATGACATGAAGCAGCAAAATACATACTACGAAAATATTGCAAATTATATCACCTATGCTTCATTTCAAGCCATTTGAAACATTGGCTTACCAGTGGAAGGAATAATATTCATTTTTCTTCTCCTAACGCATTCAATTATTTTGCAAATTTATCATTAACAGAAACTTGAAATATTATAACTCTTCCAGTTTCTAAATGAACTTAATGAACCAGTGTGGACGTTCAATAATCTGAATTGTTGGACCATCTACTATTTTTAACTACCACTAGTATCTGAGTTTGCTATCGTTAGATAGCACATCGACCTAACTGCATTGTGGGTATCGTAATTCTACTTGAAGTGGGTAAAAGCGGTACTTTGTTGATACGTATGAGCCTAAATAATCTTACTCCCTGTATAGATCGCATCGATGTTCTTGAGTCGCCTTAATTACTCCTTACTTCCCGCTAAATCATGACGAAAGAATTACGGATATCCGAATTGATGTAGAAGATGCAACGATTATATGGAAAAGTCAAGATGGTTGGTGTACGTTAAAAACATGAGCGCTATCAAAAAAATAAAACTTACTTTTTTAATCATACTTGGGAGGAAACTTGAAAACTAGTTTTGCTGCATATGCTGCATATTGCTGCATATGACGATTACATACATTAGATATAATTACGACATTAACAGGTTAAGATTAACAATGTTATAAAGGGTTTTCAAATAGGGGCAGATCGATATTGATAGTCTGTAGCGGTCATGTTGTTTTCAAATCTGTTGATTATTATTCAATTACTGATACCAAATCACCATGGCAAGTTACACGATTAAGCAGCTCGTGCAAATGATAAAACTTTATCAAAATGAGTGTTCGTTAGCGGTAACGTTACGACAGACGCGATGGCCCTTTAAAGTCGACTCTCCAACGTTCGGTCCGTGAAGATGTCCAGGAGTACCGAGGGAATCGATTCCTTTTAGTACACAACAATTGGGACTTTCGTAAGCTTCAACTTGGCGAATTTACTTCGAGACTTGGGTCTGCACCCGTGCAAGACCCAACTGAACCAGAAACTCCAAGTTAATGACCATAGACAACACCATTTGTTCGTTGAGTGGGATTCGGGCGTTTGGAAAAGGTCCCCAACTTTAGCTGAAAAATCTGTAGCAATGAGGCACATTTTTCGATGATAACAAGCAAAAGTGCCGTACATGGGACGACATCAACCTACACCAGGAAGAACTGCATTAACAAAAAATTACTGTACGGTGTAGATTTTGTGTCGGCGACATTTCACCGTTAAAAGAGAGCGCAGATCAATGATAACCAATTTCTTTTGACCCAAATTGAACGATGTGGATAACATGTGGTTCCAGCAGTACGGTAACAATTACACAGCCGCTCGTAGAGTTTAATGCAGTAGATGTTTTATGTTGTGTTTTATTAGTAACTCTAAATATAGATGTTTCATAATATATACGCAGGACTTCAGGATGTGATAGCTTGTCAAAAAATTTGAAAAAAAGATTCTATCAACTTACCCTCTAAAATGATCACCATTTTTGAGATAGAGAATAGATAGAAATTTAATAAAAAAATCGTTTTTTGCGAATATCTCCGGAACCGTTTATTGTACAGAAAACTGCGTTTGTAAGCATTTTTTACTCATAATAAGCTAAGTTTTCTGGTAGAAAAAAATTTTTTGAAGTGATTGTGTTAACCTTCAGAATGACCTGAACAGATTTTATGATTTTTGTGAAATTAATAATTTGTCATTTAACAGAGCTAATAGGATGCTGGGATTTGTAATGCGCTCTTCTGAATCGTTTTGCTGCCCTAGACCTATTATTTTTTTATACAATGCTTTCGTTAATAGTATTTTATAGTTCGGCAGTACAGCTTAGAATCCTCAGTATGACGCATACATTAACAGAATAGAGATGATGCAGATAAGGTTTCTGAAGTATCTCTCGTATAAATTCCGGCATCCTTATACAGATTACCAATCTGCCTATCAAATGTATCATATGCCCACACTTCAGCAGCGCAGAACTTGCAGTGATGCCTGCTTTCTGTTCAGGTTGGTCAGAGGTTACTGTGATTCTTCCTATCTTCTTTCACGCATTGATCTGCATGTTCCCCCTCGCCGGCTGCGTTATGACTCTGTTCTATGCGTCGACTGCCCGGACAAATTCGTATAGAAATTCCCTAATACTTCGCATGGAGAGAACAGTGGACCGCCTTGGGTTGGACATATTCGCCGTCACGCCGTACAACTTCAAACAAATTATTCGTAATGCCCTGCTCGCCCTACCAGTTGTGTGATTTTGAGTACAGAATCTCGTTGCAGCGGCTTGAGTTCTGCCTTGAATTGATTTGATCACATATGCTTAAGGCCATTAATTAATTAATTGATCGATTTTCAATTTTGTGTTCATACAATTTATTGTATATAAAATGTATTACAGTGGAGTAGCTTTTATGTGCGACTGTGACCTGTTGCTACCCCCGTGTGTGTAAATAAATAAATAATTGGTGAAGATTTTGAAGGAGTAGTGGTTGTTTTTCTCCCCAACTTCTACGCCACTCGAAAAAGTACGGTTTTGAGACGCCCATTTGAACCGCCAATGTTTTCTACATAAAAAAGGTACTCAAGGTCATGAGCTCTAAAGTTGACCGTTTTCGAGAAAAATCAACTTTTATGTTGAATATCATGGTCAATTTTTTGAAATAAAAATTTTACTTTATTAAAACGTTAGAACAAGCAACAAAAGCAAACGTTAACTTTCACACGTTCAATTGCATAATTAAAAGAAACAATTACAAATCATACACAGTTAAATGAAATGTTGGAAATGTCCGCCGTTAGCTTCAATGCACGCAGCAATTCTTCGACGCATTGACTGTCTAACAAGCAGCCTGAAAGCAGGAACATTCCCGGAGTGTTCCGAATTATGCTGCAAGATACAACAATGCGCTCTCTTAATTGGTCAACATTTTCAACTGGGGTAGCGTAGACGACTAGGGTTTTCAGATGGCCCCAAAAGAAAAAATCTAAACAATTAAGTTCGGGAGATCGCTGTGGCTAAAGTTGCGGACCTCCTCGACCAATCCAACGGTCTGGGTATTCGTCGTCCAAGTATTGGCGAGCAACCAAACTAAAGTGGGACGCAAGCTCCATCATGCATAAAGTACATGTTTTGTCTTACTTGAAGCGGTACATCTTCTAGCACTTCTGGCAGTACTTCTTCTAGAAATTGTCGATAATCTGCACCGTTTAATCTGTTCGGTAAAAAATGTGGGCCTATCAAACGATCACCGACGATGGCAGCCCAAACATTTACGGAAAATTGTTGCTGATGATGGCCTTCTACAATTTCATGTGGATTTTCTTCTGCCCATAGATATGTGGTTATTGTGAAAATTTAAAATACCATCTTTCGAGAAAGATGCTTCATCGGTAAACAGAATTTCGGCTCCAAACTCAGAATTTTGAGCTATTTTGTCTTGCATTCATGTACAAAAAGATAATCTTGGCGGAAAATATCTTGGCAATAAGGCTTGTACTCTTTGGATATGGTAGGGATACAAAAGTTGTCTTTTCAAAATTCTCCAAACCGTCGAGTGAGATGGTTTTAAGGTGTGAGCAATTTTTCTGGTACTTGTGGTCGGATTTTCATCAATTTCGTTGAAGACAGCCTCTTCTATTTAAGGATTTGCAACTCCCATAGGCCGCCCATTATCAGCAGTATTCCTTTTAAAATGTCCATTTTCCCATAGTCGTTGGTGAAAGCGTAGAAGCAAGTTATGGTGTGGTACTGGACGATCAGGAAGTCTTTCTTGATACAACCGCCTTGCGTAATGCATTTCGCACATTCCAGCGTTTGTGTAATTCATTTTTAATTGTGTAATACAAGTTTACTTTTTGCAGGTACAAACTAATTGTTATTTTGACAGGAGGTAGCTTTGGTTAAAAAATTTAAAATCTACTTGTTAAAAATAAATTATACAATTTTTTACACAAACGCTGAAATGTACCTTTACGGTTTGGAGAATTTTGAAAAGACAACGTTTGTATCATTGTTTAATGTTTTTTTTATTTTGCATTTATGAAGTTAACGCTTGCTTTTGTTACTTGTTCTAACGTTTACATAAATTTTGTTTAATTGTAAAATAAAATTTTTATTTCAAAAAATTGACCAGGTTTTTCAAGATAAAAGTTGATTTTTTTAGAAAACGGTAAACTTTAGAGCTCATGAATTTTTGGACAAGCTATCACATCCTGAAGTCCTGCGCATATATTATGAAACACCCTGTATAGTTTCAATTCAAAATTTTCATCACTAACGCGTAAGTCTGTCTCCTTTTTATTTTGTGAACTTTACATCATTTAATGTTAATCGTCGTTGTAACTCCATTAAATGGTTCATGATGTCTTTGGCTGTTCTGCAAAAACAAATGAGACTTCGTGCTAGCATTCTTAAGGTTGTGCCACCGTATCAGACATTTTTTCGACTATATGTAACATATTGTCTCTTCTGCAGAGGCATTCCTAACATTCAGAACGCCGGCGTTTGGCCAAGAATAAATCTTAACCAATGGGTTTCAAATTGTTCTATACGAGCTTTCTACCATTCTGATATATATTTCCCGGACTGGTTTGATGCATATTCTATCAACCGTATTGTTTAAGTTGCAGACACCGTTTAAAATATTTATGCCAGTGCCCTTCATGTCTTTTTTAACCTTCAAAATTTGTGCCTTAAACTCAACTTAAAAACAGTTATATGTATTTGAACCTCAAAATTAGTAAAGTTGTAATTTGAGCTGCTTCCTAACATAAACTTACATTTCTATAAATTATCTTTAGTGCGCTTCGTTTATGTGAAAGTTTTGAACAAATTTTTAATAAACGTAATCTAATTTCAGTTTAGTATTAATTTTTAGTTGATCTAATAAAATTGAATTTAGTGAATACTCATAAAAATCCTTTTGTTTTCTCGTGTCTAAAAATAAACCGATTTTGTAAACTTGTTATGAGATGTTGAAACATTGGTAAAGGATAACAAATAAACCATTAATACAAAATTAAAAGAAAAACTACTAAAACGTCGCGTTTGTGCTCACCTAAGGATACAATGGATTGTAGCGCTTGTTAAAATCTTTACACAAAACTTTTTCACATTTTCTTTTAAAGCCCCCTCACAAAATCATCATTCTGCGATCAGTTTTCTTCTTCTGGAGTACACGTTCGGTTCGAATTACACGAAACAACAAAAAGAAATACCAATTTCAGTTTTAATATCAAAAAATAAGAATTATTGCCAATTATTAAATTTTAATTCAAAAATAATCATAAGAATAATAACATTCCCGGCTACGTTTCAAGATTTATTAAAATAAAATATTCCTAGGTTTCCTAATAAATAAACATCAACAAATAAAAAAAAAAAAAAAAATCTTACCTGCAATAACTGGTACATCAAAATCAAAACTACTAGGTACTTGTCCACACGAAGTAGTACTAGCCTGAGAACTAACATGTCTCGTTTTCTGCAACGGTGGATTCTTACTTTGCGAAATCGCCAAACCGCGTCTTAAATTTCCTCTCGTCGGTGATGGAGGTGGATAAGAAATTCCCCGATGAGTTGGACTTAACAAATGAGTACTACTTCCACCGGCGGGATTCTTCGCATTCGGAACGCTCAAAGTATTTTGATTAAAATTCAAACTCAATGTACCAACATTCGGTGAACCGAGTGTTAAATTGGGCAAACTTTGACCAAGGTTTGTGTATGGTTGCACCGAAAGTGTGTTGGGGGTTTTATTAAAAAGACGTTGTTTGAAGGAGTTCTTTTGAGAAACAGGGCTTCGATCGGGTGGCAAAGGTTGTACGCCTTCATCGCTTGATATCGAAGCCGTTCGATTTTCATTTTCAACGGACACGGCCCGAGAAGGATCTTTCCCTGAACCGATAGAGGATTGATCATTCATTTCAACAGATCCACTAAAAACAGAATTACATTGTACAAACTGTATTTGCTTACAATTTTCTTAATTACCTGTGGCTGTGTGCTAAACTGGAAACTCGACTAGCCCTTGAAGACGATGCCAAAGGTGATTTTGGCGCTAATTGGAAATTGTGAAAATCACTTTCAAGTGATTCGGTGAAAGAATATTCTGGATCGATGTCATCGTAATGAGAGACTTGTTTCGCTTGAGAATAAAGACTTTGTGCTTTTGCAATGCCGTCTTTCCAACTCTTTAGATTTAATAAAAAAATGAGTTAAGAAAAGAGTTATTTTTTTATTGGGGAAAAGAAGTAAAAAAAGTTGTTTAAATGGATTTATGAAAAATCTATTTATACCCCCATTGAAGAGGGATGAAAAAAAAAGGAAAAGAAATAATTTAATGGTTGATCGTTAAATTTTTTTTATTATCCGATAAAAGTTCGGACACCTACGCATTGGAATTTATCTTCGTAAAAAAAAGGTTAAAAGTAAATTATAAATAAAAATTGAAGAGTAAATCGATTTTTTATGACTAAGTTATTTTTAAAATTTCTTACCTTAAGTTTTCTAGCGTCATTATTCTGCAAAATAAATCCAGCAATGGCCATATCAAATTCGTTTTTATAAATTAGAGCCAAAGACGGGGTTTCTTTGTTCAATTCATGAACTACAAGTCTATCGACAAGATAAGGTTGCCTGATGACCCGCATCATGGATCCTCCCCGTTTAGTTGAAGGTTTGCAAACTAAGAGCATATCTGTCAAAAGGAAGCAATGAACTTCCATCTAAAAAAGAAAAAATAAAATATCCAAATAAAAAATTATTGGTGAAATTACTTTTGAAGTGTTGCTATCTTTTAATTTTAAATCTCCCTCTAATAAAAGATGTCTTCTTCTATCCACAGGACAATTCAACATTGGGCGTGTTAAATCTAATGGGACATAACTTTTTTTTAAAATACGTTCTAAATCGTCATCTTTTGATTCCTAAACAACAATAAAAAAAATTAAGTTTTAAAGAAAATTAAAAAAAAAATTTATTAACTTACAACAATTTCATAACTTTCTATTCTAACAATAAGTCCTCGAAGTCTTTCGTTGTCTTGTTTTTGCTTTAAACTTGAATTAACTTTATTTACGAAATCATCAACAGATCTGATCTAAAAATAAAAATAACTTAAAATTATTTTTATAAAACAATTAATTTTATACCATAAGGTATAAAGTATCCTTTTCAACTTCTTCGTCGGTGTTTTTCAGGATGGCTTTTAACAGTAAACCGTATTTAGTAAGTCTTTGCATCGGTTGAACGAGAATGTCCATTAATCTCAACCTGAAACGCAAAGAGATGAATAATATGCGGTCTCCTCCGTTTCCAATTTCGTTCTTATTTTCGTTTCCCCCCTTTTTCTTTTCGTTCCCACTTAACGTTAGCGTTAATAAATTTCTGTTTGCGAACAAACTCCGTCGGCGCAGTAAGTAATCCCTCTTTTTTATTTTAAAACGAAGAAATTTACATGGAACCGCAATAATCTCAACCTGCTTTTATAAAACGTACTACGTTTACGGCGTTTACTCATTTGCAAACAAATTGAAAAAAAACGCGTTTTAAACATATGTTGTTTTAAAACAAAACCAGAAAACGTAGCTTTTTAAAGTGGTTTGACGTATAAACTTAAATTTATTATTAGGTTCTCTTTAAAGATATTACCCGAAAAAATAACGTTTATAGAAAATCAATAGTCGTAGAAAGTTTATGGTTGGATATTAGCTATAAACTTGGAGAAGTGAAATGGTCGAGTTCCAAGCGTAATTTTACCAAAGAAAACATTTTCTTTTTGTGCTCATAAAAGCTGTACAATCACACATCCAGTAAGTTATTTATTACTTCTGGGAAGTACACCATTATATTTATATTGATTAGAACATATTGATTTAACTCTTCAAATTTTAAATTCTATTATTATAGTAAAACCTCAATCTAACGGACCTCGTTAGAAAGGATTTCGAATATAACGTACAAAATGGTTTTACGTCATACTATTAATATTGTCTATTTAATACATCACTATATTTAAATGGAATTCGGGTATTCCCCAAGTAGTCTATACTATATACTAGTGGTGGAATGGATATCCGGCCATTTTTTAAAATCCGGCCGGATACCGGATAGTTACCAAATATCCTATTTAAAAACATATTACTTAGTACTCCACCATTCACAGGAATTAGTATCTCTTTTAAGTGTTGGACACTGCAGATAATAATTAAGTCCCCTATAGGACTATATATAAAATCTCTTTCAAAATCACTTTCGATTATTAATTAAAGTATCCTCTTTTTAATGCAACAAGCCGTTTTGAAAAATCGGTTTTAGTTTTTAAGAAATACATTTTTGAAATGATCGACAATTTTCTAGAATTTTGCAATTTTCGCGATTAAGTTTTAAAAATTCGTATAAAATCCATTTCTTGGAATATGAATTTGAAAATTTTCCAAAGTGTTAATAAGAGTATCCTCTTTCCAATGAACCAACACGTTTTGAAAAAAAACTTTTAGTTTTTGAGAAAATAATATTTGAAGTTTTGATAAAATTTTTGATGTTGCAATTTTCATCGATAACTTACAAAATTTGCTATAAAGTTAATTTCTTGAAGGATCCTTGTGGAAATATCACCAATTATTAATTAAAGTATCCTCTTTTTAATGCAACAAGCCGTTTTGAAAAATCGCTTTTAGTTTATGAGAAAAAAATTTTTGAAATGATCGACAATTTTATCAAATTTTGCAATATTCGCCGATTAAGTTTTAAAAATTCGTATAAAATCCAGTTCTTGGAATATGAGTATGAAAATTTCCCAAAGTGTTAATAAAAGTGTCTTCTTTCCAATGAACCAACCCGTTTTAAAAAATAGTTTTTAGTTTTTGAGAAAACTATATTTGAAGTTTTGATAAAAGTTTCGATGTTGCAATTTTCATCGATAACTTTCAAAATTCGCTATAAAATTAATTTCTTGAAGGATCCTTGTGGAAATATCACCAATTATTAATTAAAGTATCCTCTTTTTAATGCAAAAAGCCGTTTTGAAAAATCACTTTTAGTTCTTGAGAAATAAATTTTTGAAATAATCGACAATTTTTTCGAATTTTGCAATTTTCGCCGATTAAGTTTTAAAAATTCGTATAAAATCCAGTTCTTGGAATATGAGTATGAAAATTTCCCAAAGTGTTAATAAAAGTGTCTTCTTTCCAATGAACCAACCCGTTTTAAAAAATAGTTTTTAGTTTTTGAGAAAACTATATTTGAAGTTTTGATAAAAGTTTCGATGTTGCAATTTTCATCGATAACTTTCAAAATTCGCTGTAAAATTCATTTCTTGAAGGATCCTTATGAAAATATCACCAATTATTAAATAAAGTATCCCCTTTTTAATGCAATAAGCCGTTTTGAAAAATCGCTTTTAGGTTTTGAGAAATAAATTTTTGAAATGATCGACAATTTTATCGAATTTTGCAATTTTCGCCGATTAAGTTTTAAGAATTCGTATAAAATCCAGTTCCTATAATATAAGCATGAAAATTTCTCAAAGTGTTAATAAAAGTGTTCTTTTTCCAATGAACCAACACGTTTTGAAAAATAACTTTTAGTTTTTGAGAAAACAATACTTGAAGTTCTCATAAAATTTTCGATGTTGCCATTTTCATCTAAAACTTATAAAATTCACTATAAAATTCTTTCTTGAAGGATCCTTGTGGAAATAACACCAATTATTAATTAAAGTATCCTCTTTTTAATGCAAGAAGCCGTTTTGAAAAGTCACTTTCAGTTCTTGAGAAATAAACTTTTGAAATCATCGACAATTTTTTCGAATTTTGCAATATTCGCCGATTAAGTTTTAAAAATTCGTATAAAATCCAGTTCTTGGAATATGAGTATGAAAATTTCCCAAAGTGTTAATAAAAGTGTCTTCTTTCCAATGAACCAACCCGTTTTAAAAAATAGTTTTTAGTTTTTGAGAAAACTATATTTGAAGTTTTGAAAAAATTTTCAATGTTGCAATTTTCATCGATGAGTTTAAAAATTCGCTATAAAATTCATTCCTTGAAGGACCCTTGTGAAAATATCACCAATTATTAATTAAAGTATCCTCTTTTTAATGCACCTAGCCGTTTTGAAAAATCGCTTTTAGTTTTTGAGAAATAAATTTTTGAAATGATCGATAATTTTGCCAAACAACTTTGGCAATTTTGAAGGGGATGTCGAATATCCGGTTTTCCGCAAAATCACTAAATCTAACTAAATCACGATGTAAGGAATAAATGGGATAACATTTTAGCAATTGCTTTTGCTTCAAATATCAGTTCTGGTTTGGACGGAAGTGATAGTAACTTTTTTAAATAAGCTTCTCAGTAAACCAGAAAGAAATAATAACTAACGTGGAAAATAATCTCAATTTAAAGCAAATGCTCAAACTGTCGGCCATCTACTTTATGACATTTACTCCTGGACAATTTTCAACGTCGCGGAAGTTTCTTTTAAGTCATATTAATTATTCGGTCTAGGTGACATGTTGATAAATTTCGTTTTAGAAATGTTTAGCGTAAGTTTATTTACAGCTAGCCAAACCTATATATCTTTAAAGCCGTTGCTTGCGTTTTCTTTGACTTCTCCCCACGTGTTATTTTCAAATAGTGCAGCGGTATCGTCTGCATAGAAAATAATTTTGCCCTGAATATCAAGTGAGAGCGGGTCGTTTAGGTATGTTAAAAATAGTTAGTTAATATAGATTGTTGTATATTTTTCATTAAACTAAAACTAGAACTAACATTAGAACTAGAAATATTCGAGTTTAGCCTTCTTAAGAGACACACGACTAAACTCTACTGTTAATAATTTTTTATATACAAGACTTTTGGTTATAACGGACACTCCCTACTCCGTATTAATTCGTTATATCGAGATTTTACTGTATTTACAAAAGATGAAGTTGAAGTTTACATTGTAACAATCAATTTAAATTCGTTCAATCGAAAATGCGTATCATGCTTGAAATTCTAGAAAGCATTCCGGGACACTGAACCAATTCTAATTTAACTATTGTCTTTTATGATGGGGTGTATGGAATAAAGGGATATAACAAATATTGAACTGTATTTGTCAATATAACTTCGTATTTGACTTCTCCTTGAAACGATCCAATATCAACCTGACCAAAAATTTAAAACTTTAAAATAAATTTTAAAGAAAGTCACAAGAATTGTAGTAATATGAAATCGATTTGTTTTGGAAATGAATCTCTACATTTTTAAGAATCTCATTACTGATTCATATAAGGTATGTAATTGGTTTATTCTCATAATTAGCTTAATTAGCTTTAAGCGTGTTATATCATTCTAATCCAATTTGTGTTTAAATACATACATGTAATGATATTGATTAAACTTTAACAAATTATTTTTTAATGCTCTCCAAGTGCTTATTAAACATTCAAAAGTAACATATAGGAAAAACTTTCTTGTGGTAACGTACCATATCTTGTTTCAGACACAAACACTTCTACATGTATTATAAATGACGCGACAGCAGTTTATTTTGAGCTCTATTGTTAAGATAAAAACACTAAAATAACTCTTTTTTGAAACATAACACAAAATTCAAAATGGTTGAGATGATTCTGATAAAAATAGAAATTTGATTCTATTCCGCATTCAGAGCTCGGTTCATTACGATGGTAATATCCTGTTTAATAAATGTGAGCGTCTCCATTATAGACATATAATTTCCTTCCGCCGAGTAAATTTTTGCTATTTAATTCCGATGACGTAGTGATTGGACTCATACTCTATCTTTTACTTTTTGAACGTCTTTGATATAACTGATATAACAACAAAATACTCTGTAAATTTATGTATGATGTCTTTGTTTAGTTCTTCTTCGTCCCTAACGTTCATCGTGTTGTCAGTATTTAATTTGTGTGTTATGGTTATGATGTCAGCTGGTGCACTACTTTGTTAAATAATTTAGACAAATCAAATAGATTTTTCTTTGAATCCGTTGTATAGACATCACCACCATATTTGATATTTCTAATCAGTGTTTAATATACCTTGCTCTTGATTTCACCATTGAGACTACCCAGAGTATTATTTCTTTGATTTTTTATCTAGCATTGTTATTGATGTCAGATTATTAATGAAGCTCTCTTGCAAACTATGGAGTTCATTTAAGTTCTTAAAATTTACTCTATTTCTTAAAATCTCGAGTGATAGTGATTTGTAGGATTTCTATATTAATCATGGAATATTACGTATCACCATGTTACCCTCCATTAA